AACTGCTAGCAGGGCACTCGCCACGCCAAGACTGGCATCACCACCAAAGGATGCTACTACCCAGGCTGCCAGGCTGGATTCTGCTGTCATAGACATGTGTCTCTGCCTTTCAGACTCTTCCCTGCAGAGCTACCCCGAGGCACCCTAACTGACCCGAGCCGTGTCATCATACCCCCAATATAAAGTCACAGGTGGCAGCATTTGATTGGCTGGCCCTAGGTCCTGTCTTGCTCACACTCCTGAGGGGTACCTGCCCTTTGGGCCTCCATAGTGGAGTATTTCTCTGTTATTATCTCCAGGTTTCCCCCAAATAAGAAAAATGTTTGGATGGTGAGTAACCTAAATTACAAGTATCTGTTACATAGACATTCCTGTTTTGTTTATGGGTTCATCACCTGGAAATATCTTTCTTTTTAAATTTTTAAGATTGACATAATATTTTTACATATTTACAAGGTACAAGATGTCATCTCAATATATATCTGTAAAGGGCAGTGATCAGATCAGGGTAATTGGTGTATTCATATTCATGAGCTTAAAAATTCAGTCCTCTCTACTAGCTATTTGGAAACACACAATTAATTGTTGGTGGCCATAGTTACACTACTGTGCTATGGGACATTAGAAATTATTCCTGCTGTCCAACTGCACCCCGTCCCCATTAACCATTTTCTCCCAATGTCCCTTTCTTTCCATCTTTCGGGCCTCTCTTAATCACTATTCTACTGTCTACTTCTATGAAATCGACTTATTACCATTCACATACAAGTGAAAACATGTAATATTCATCTTCCTTTCCTTTTCTTTTCTTTTTCCTGCCTTCTTTCTTGTGTGTGAGTGTGCATGCGCACATGCCTGTGGGGGTGTGTGTGTGTTTGTGTGTATGTTGTACTAGGGATTGAACCCAGGGTGTTCGCATTGAGCTACATCCCCAGCCCTGTTTTACTTTTTTTATTTTGAGACAAGCTCTCTCTAAGTCCCTAAGTCACTCATTCTGGGATTGGAATTTCATTCCTCCTCCCTCATGATATTTGTCTTTCTGTGTCTGGCTTACTTAACATAACATCCTCTAGGCTCATCTATGTTGCCACCAATGACAGAGTTTCATTCTTTTTATGGCTGAATAATGCTCCACTAGGTGTGTGTTGTAGTCAGGGTTTGCAAAGAAATAGATTTAATAAACATAATTTATAGGATTATTTTATAATATTCACCCAAAAAGTCAAAGGCAGAGCAGTGCAAGAGGTCTGTCCACATGCTAGAGACCTGAAGAATGTAGCCAAGGGCCTGGATCCCGTGGCATTGTCCCCCACGAGTCCAGCCAGAGGCCTACAGCCCAAGGCAGTGTCTTCCAAAGAGACCCGCTAGAGGCCTAGAGGCCACGGCAATGTCTCATGCAAGTCCAGATAGAGGATCTGCACCAGAAAGGCCCAAGGGCCAGTAGTGGAAGCCAGAAAGCCTGCACCAGCAGAGTGAAGGGTCTGTGCCACCAGGCTGAGGGATCTGCACTGGAGCCAGCAGAGGTCCCCTGGGATTTACTATGAAATTGCAAGGAAAGAACAAGGTTTGGGCTTATCACTCATTTGAACACATTAGAATTCAGAAGACATCGCAAGCGACAGCAAGGACCTGAGCTCCTCCCAATGATGAGAGCAGCCAAGTTCGAATCAGGAAAACCAGCCGCGGCAAGCTTCTCCAGGAAAATCAACAGCATATGATCTTCCCCTCCAGTTCTCCTTTTATGCCATTGGCAGCAATTCTCAGGTGGGTCTTCCATGCCCAGACCCACACTTAGTTCAGCCGGGCATTCCAAGTTGACCATTAGTTAATCCACCACAATATGTATGCCACATTTTATTTATCTGAAGAATAATATCTTTCAAGTAGGGATTCTGTCATTCATTGAGTTAGTTTACACCCTAGATTTCTGTTATTTCACCTTTTCTAAGCTATCTTTTGTGTTTCTTCAAAGTCAATCAAAAGGTTACACAGGATAGTGTCAGAAGCAAGTCTGAGGACCTGGCTTCCTTCTGTTTGAGAATCAAACATTAATCTTTAGGAAATTTCTACCTATCCAGCTATGGTTCTCCTAATTGCTAAATCACCCAGAACACACAGAACACATGCTTTCATCCTGCATTTTAAGTAGAATATACCAAGAAAGGTTTTCAGACCTTGTGATAGTTAATTTTATGGGTCACTTTGACTGAATCAGAGGATGCCCTGATGTGGGGTTAAACATTACTTCTAGGGGTGCCTGTCAGGGTGTTTCTGGAAGGGATTAGCATTTGAACTGAAAGACTGAGTAAAAGGGGTTGTCCTCCCCAACATGAGTAGCAGCATCCAATCTTGGAGGCCCAGCATAGACCCCAAGAGTGGAGGAGGGAAAGATTCACTCTGTACTGGCTGCTCCAGCTGGGCCCCTGGTCTTGTGCCCTTGGTGCTTCTGGTTCCCAGGCCAGATACAGAGTAGAATCTATGCTGTTGGCTCTTTGGCCTTCAAGTCTTCAAGCTACACCCCAACCAGCTCCACTGGGTCTGCAGCTTGTTTGGAACCTAGCGAGGGGTGAGCTACTGAAGGTTACACAAGGGTGGCTTGAGAGCCAGCTGTGACATGTAGGGATCTGGCTTGTGTTTGTGCCCTAAGAGTCAATGCCAGAACCATTTATGACCCGTGTAAGAGGCCTGAGGCTGCCACTTGAAGACTTGAACCACAGGGTTTAATTGCAATAGTGCTTTGGTATGTCACTAAGGAAAGGTCAGCCCCAAGTCTGTTTTCAAAACACAGAGGAAAATTCCTCTAATGACTTTACTTGAGCAAAGGACAGACCTTGAGTTGCTGTACAGGTTTTTCCATATCAAATTACTCAGCCAAAGAAGTAAAATGACGTTATTTTCTTGGTCATGGATACCATACCTTGTCATGTGTCCATTTTCCCATGGTCCACCAGGTACTCACATTGGCAGGAACAAAAACTAATGCAGGTTCTTTGCATGATCTAGATGTTCACATAACAAGCAATCAGATTAATTAATGAAAGCAGTTTTGGCAAACTGATGTAACAGAGTGTCAGGTCTTTGCTTGATCTGTTGAGAAAACAGTTAAGAGCAAGATAGAAAGAACAATAACAATAAGACAAAGTTTGAAGAGTCAGAAAACAACAATAGCAAGACAGAGTTTGAAAAAAGCCCATCGTGGAGGCTCTGAGGGGAAATAGGATAGTCTTCCACTCAGCCTTTAAATAAGAGCCAAAGAAAAGTTATCTCCATTCAAAGGAAGAGATATCCTGGTTTGGGTTCAGGGTTGGGGAAACTTAATGGGGAAGAAAAATAAATGGAAGTCAAATTTCTTAATGATCTTGGGGAAAGCTATCCACTTTGTTGCGTCTTCTGCTCCCAGGGCCTGGGAATTGACCCAGAAATCGTTACTTTAAGGTCACTTGTAGGAATGATCATCCAATTGTCCTGAGAGTATGGGTTCAGTGTAGGTGATTAGTAGCATTTAATGAAGTCCTTCTTAGGGAGGTGGCAGTGTGTGCTTTCCTACATAGTGACCTCCTGGTAAAAAGGAATGGAGAGTTGGCAGTTGGTAGAGGCCATGGCCTTTGTACCTGTTGATGCTGTGCTCCAAGTATGCAAGTTAGTCCTTATTTACAACTAGTTGTAGTACCAAACTGTTCACTTGCACCCCCATCATGTTCACTTGGTCCAGGATTCCAAAGCTGAGAGATACCAGCTGACATACGGCCACCAAACACTGTTTAAAGAAGGGAAAATCTGGGATTTGGAGATCCAGATCACCATACAGGCCACAAGAGTGGCTCCTGGCCATTTCAGTTCAGTTTCTTGACAGATTTTCTTAAAGTTTTTTTTCCCCACCAGCCAATATTTTAATAATTCACAATATAAATTAACATGTTAAGGTGTTTTTATAATCTTTCACCATCTAAAATACAGTAGTACCTCGGTTCAAGAAAATTTTTGTTTGAGAACAATTTGGTTGGCAAACAAAAGCATTTCACAAAATTTTGTTTTTGCTTGCAAGCTCTGTATTGGGTAGCAAACATGACCACAGCCACCTTTCCCACACAAATACAAATGTTGCCATCTTTTCCAAAATGGTGAAACAAATTAAGTTCATGAACTGGGAAACCACTGTAATGCATCCTACAATTTTCAAGGATGAGTTCTTTGACCTCCACCATCCTTTGTTCAGAAGTGCCTTTGCTACTGGCAGCGTATGCTCCTCTCTGATGGCTCCACACTTATTCACACAGGCATTTGTCATGGGCTCTGCTGCTGATCAGTGAATAATGACTTGGTCAGATGGACCATTCCATCTTATCTCTGGATGTCACCACTTGTCTCCAGATTGACAGAAGGCATCTGTTGCTTAAAGATGTGCTGTAGAGTGCTGCAGGGAGCCTTGCACTGGATCTGCTTCCTGTGGGAGACAGTGGTCAAATGGACCCTCCTCCCCTTTGGGCACAAGCTGCCTCAGTTTCTGAGCCCCTCCCCACACTACACACAATCGCACACTCACTGGGGCAGTGAGAACAACCTAGCTTCTCTAATTCTTCTTCCCCTAAAGTCCTTTCTATGTCTAAACATTTATGTCCCACCTACCCTGAAGATCAGGAATGTACAAAGCGTGAAATCTTAATGAGTACCCTCAAACTTTTTGCAAGCAGGTAGTTTATTTCTGCTGTAAAATGAGTTCCTTGGTCTGACTCAATCCATAAAGGAATACAGTACCAATTGAGGAACAGACTCAGTTGTCAGTTTATTCACTGCCACTGTGGAATGAGGCAGGGACAATGGTATGGGCATTGCTGTGACAAAACACCTGAGGCTGGGAAGCACGCTTATTTAGTTCATCAGTTTGGAGGTTCAAGAGCATAGCACTGTCATCTGCTCAGCTCTGGAGAGGTCACCTTTGGCTATGTCACACAGTAGGTGACATCACAGTGGGAGTGCATGCAAGGAAGAAAGATCATATGGTGAAACAAGGAGCTAGAGAGAGGGAAGAGGCCAGTCTTGCTCTTTTATAACAAATCTCTCATAGGAACTAAGCAGAGTCCCATGAAAACTACTGCTATAGTTTACATCAAGAATGTCCCTCAAGACCTCATGCACTTGTAAGTGGGGCTTTTGAAAGGCCACTGAATCACGGGGCTGATATAGCTGGCTAGCTGTTAGGAGGAGGGGTCTGGTTAGAGGAGGTGGGTTACTACAGGTGTGACCTGGGAGGGTGTATCTCCCTCCCCTCTCTTCCCTTCTCTCTACTGCCAGACTGCCTTGATGTGAGTGGCTTTTCCTGCACCATGCCCCTCTGTTATGCCACATCTGCCTTGGAGCCAGCTGACCATGGACTGTAATCATGAGCCAAAATAAACCTCCCCGCTTTAAGTTGTGGGCGGCAGGTGTTGTGCCCCATCAGTGGGGAAGTGTCTAAAACATTTACAACCTTAAGCTCAAAGACCTCAAGCTCTTCTGAGAGCCATGTTTCTAATGACCTACTCACCTCCCACTAAGTCCCATTTCTTTTGGGGGGGGGGTTGAACTCAGGACCTTGTGCTTGCAAGGTAGACGAGGAAGGTGCAGCGCCACTGAGCTAAATCCCCAGCCCAGTCCCACTTTATAAAGGTTCCACCCCGTTAACATCTTCACACTGAGGACCAAGCTTCCAACACATGAACCTGAGAGGGAAAAACCACATCTAAACATAACAGGTTTCTAGCTTTAGTGGGAAAAGGATAGAAGAGTCCAGTTTTGGCCATGCATTTGACAGCCTTGTCAGTCCTATCATTCTCTAAAGATACAGTATCATTTTCTTTAATATTGGCTGAACAAAGAACAATGCCAATCTTAGTAGGGAGGCAATTAACCGGTAATAAGGCAGCAATTATATATCTACTAGCAATAGGAGAACCAGCAGAAGTTAAGAATTTGAGGGTTTTACAAATTGTGCCCAACAGAATGGTGGACTTCCAGATACATATCTGGAGTCTGTTTAAATAGTGGTAGTTTTTCCTTTTGCACTGTGCAAGTGCTAGAAACAGCTTTAAGTTCATCAGCATGGTCTGGTTTTACAGTGGGCAAAGAGTATGCCGCAAATATTTCATGTGGAGAAACTAGCCAGTCATTATGTCTCCCTGGAAATTTCACCAACAGGAGCCATCATGAAATAGAAGTTTGTCAAAGAGACATTTTAATGTCTATAGCTGAAAGGGAATCCTGTGGAGTGGAATGAGGTTGCCCATCATGAGGGTGAAGTAGTAGAACAGCCAGATTTGAAGTATTACAACATAAAATGGCAGAGATTGGTTAATAGGGCCTGTTCATGAGTGGTTTCTTGACATACAGAAAGGTGCTGTGTCTTATGAACTTATAGGAGAGGAGACACAGCCTGAGAAACAGACAGGTGGGTGGGAGAGTCTAATGTAAGAACACTGATTTAATCAATTAGGGTGGTGAAGCCCTGCTGTGCAGGGGCATGTCTGCTACCACTGCACCCAACTGACATGAGAAGTATGCCACAGAACATATCTGGGATGCACAAAGTTATCCTAAAATGCTTGCATTATTTTCTTGGCCATGTAGGTGAAAAAGTTTGTTAGAATTAGGAAAATCAAGAGCAGGAATGCTTAATTTTAAGGCTTCCAAGGAGGATAATGCCTCTGAGGGCCAGGAAATGGGCTCTGAGGTAGTGTCTGGAAGACAGCATAGAGACGTTTAGCAAGGACAGCAGAAGTAGGAATCCAGGGCTGGGGATTTAGCTCAGTGGTGCCACACCTGCCTTGCATGCACAAGGTCTTGAGTTCCATCCCCGGTAGGGACATGGGGGGAGTAGAAATCCATAGTAACAATAGCCAGTAGTCACTAGAGACATATGCAGCTGTTTTTTTTATTTTTGAGAGAGAGATGGACAAAATTGATCTAAGGTGCTTTGAGGTAAGTTTCTGAATGCCCTGAGACAATGTATGTCCTAAATAGGTAACAGTTGTTTGTACCCATTGAAATTTAAATAGGAGGGCCAGGGATTTAGCTCAGTGGTTCCACTGCCTGCCTTGCAAACTCAAGGACCCAAGTTCGATCCCTGGTACCAAAAAAAATACTTGGTCGGGGATTTAGCTCAGTGGTTCCGCCACCTGCTTTGCAAGGGCAAGGTCCCAAATTCAATCCCCCATACCAAAAAAAAAAAAGAAAAGAAATTTAAATAGGAAGACTTTATTCAGCTAGGTGAAGAGCATCCTGTTGAGTTTGCTTACAGTTAGAGGTCATCAGCGTACTGGACAACAGTGCAGTTAGGTAAACCTTACAGGGCCTACATTGGCTTCAAAGACTTGGAGAAGTACAGAGAGAGATTCACCACATCCCGGAGGCAGGTGCATCCGTGTTCTCTCCCCTGTAAGTGTAAATGTAAAGAGAAATTGAGAGAGGGTACTGGACTACTAAAGAAACCAAAAGGAAAACTGGATCAAGTCCTGTAAACCAGGCTCTATCAGCAGGCATACAGGTAAGAATGGTAGCTGGATGAGGGACGGTGGGTTGGTGAGAAATTTCAAAGGAATTTATGGCTCTCAGATCTTGGACAAATCAATACATTGATTCCCATGTAATCAAATCTCCCTTCTCTTCTTACTGACAAGATTGGGATGTGTATTAGTTAGGGTTCTCTAGAGGAACAGAATCAATAGAAAGTATATGTAATTCTGTGAAAGGATTTATTGGGTAGGCTTATTTCTTGGGTGGAACAGTCCACACGGCTGTCTGAGGGATCAGAGACAGAAGAGTCCACAATGGCCATCTGTCCCTGGAGAATGGAGGATCCAGGAGCTTCTCAGCCCAAGAAGATGGAAGCTACACAATGAGAGGGATCCAGGATGCAGCCCCAGTCCAAGGTCAAGGCCTGGAAGCTCACTGCATTGGAAGCAAGTCTGCATTGGAAGGCTGGAGAAATTGGTGATGTCCCAAGGCAAAGGCAAAGACTGGAGCTCTTCCAAAACAGGAACACTTCCTTCTTCTTTCCCCTTTTATCTCATCCAGGCTACAAACCTATTCATTGGTGCCACTCACATCCAGGGTAGATCTTCCCCCCTCGATTTGCTGTCCTACATGTCAATCATCCACAGACTCACTCAGAACTGTGTCCCACTAATCTTCTAGGCAGATCTTAATCCATTCAAGCTGATATACCATGATTGATAGTCACAGGCTGCTATGGAGTGAGGAAGTAAAAATAAGAATACCTACCTGTAAAAGAGTCTATTATGCATTCGATTCCATCTCATGAGACAGGGTAGTGGGCTACTAATCATAAAAGACTACTCCTTCCCCCAAGCAGTGCACATAGGCTCTGCACTTTGTAGCAGTCCAGCCTCGCATGTGACACCCAGGGGGTAGTTGGGGCATCTTTTAGGGTTGCATCCTTTTTGGTGGATTTTAAATTGAGATGAGTTTCCATTACAGAAAGGAACAAAGTTCAGGTTGCTCTCAGGTCAAGGAAACGAAAACATCTTTCCCATTATACGCTGGAATTCAACTTTCATGAAAGAGTTCTAGTGAAAATATTTTCTGGTTAGGAGTCAGAAACTAGGAAATCAGTATGGGTATTAAAAGGACCTGAGGATATTGGGTGGCCTGAGATGTAGGTAGTGAAATAGGTTGCCTAGAGACAGTGACAACATGAACAACATCAGAGCCAACAGGTAGATATAAATCCTCTGAGCAGATAGTAGAGAAAGTCACACCAATGTCAATTAAGAAATCCAATTCCCAGCTCTTCACTTTAAATTTGATGGTGGGTTCTAAGGCACAACCTAGGATAACTGACCCCATCAACTAATGAGATATTGTCAAACAGAAGGAAAAGAATGAAACATCTCAGGATGCTCAAGTCTAAGGAGATTGTTTTTTAAGCTTTTCTTTCCTTTAAATACAAGGTGGTTGTTTTTCCAGTGGATTTTTATGTCTGGAGACAAATAAGGAAGGCTCTGTGGGTGGCAAGAAAAATTAGAGGATTTTGAGTTACTCTTGAAGTCCTGCTTTAGATTCTGTAAGTACTCAATTTGCTAGGCAAAGGATATTGATTTTCAGTCTTTTTTTTTCCTTTTATTTTCTGCAAGCTATTTTAAAAGAATTACATAGCCACTTCTATAATAATGCTTAAAGACTGACTCACCAACCCAACCACACTATTTTGGATTTGCTTCTTTATATCAGGGTGAAGATTTCCAACCAAAACAGAAATTTAAAATTTCTATGTTCTGAAGGTTCATGGTTTAATGCAGTATGCCTTTGAAAAGTTGTACAAAGCATTCCAAAAAGGCCTTAAGATGTTCTCCTTCCTTCTGAGCTCATGATTCAACTTTAGACCAATTCACCTTGGAGGAAAGACCTCTATCATCACTCTTTCAGGCCCTAAATACTGGTCTCTAACTGGTCCATTTCCTGGCCATTTGCAGAAGGGTCTGGAAAAAGCCTGGCTACCTGTTTCCCGGGGTATTTGTCCTATAGGTGTGAAAGGAACATTCTCTTCACTCTCTGGAAGTTTAAGAATTGTCTGTTAAAATAAATAAACAGTAGGTTAACAGGAGAAAATACATACAAATTCATTTATGTGCTTGGGAACTACATAAAATAGGACCAAACTGTTGAAGCTTAATAGCATTCTGAGCTACAGAAAGAAGTAGGGATTTGGGGGACCAGTAGAAATGGGAAGGAATAGAGACCTGGGCCTCTGGAAGGAGACATAGGCCATCAGAGGGCATGAAAAGGAAATGTGCTATCAGCAAAGGCTGTCTTGTGCTTAAGCAAAAGCAAGCAAAGCCTCCTAGGTAGTAGTCTTCAGAAGTGTACAGGATTATTTAATCTCCCTTCTTGTGAGTTACACTTCTCTGTTAGATGAGATTATAGGGAGGTTTCTCAAGACAAGTGCATTCTTTCTAAAGGAAATTCCTGTACTCAGATAATAAAGACTTAGAGAGAGCTCCTCTCTGGATTTGCTGCTTCCTAAGCTCTTTCAGTTTGAAGCAATAATTATATCAAAGTAACCATACTTTGCGGTATCATTTTCTGAGCTCCAACAACCCCCTAATAATACATTATAGTGCTCATTAGAATTGGGCCTGTTTAA